GCGGTGTCACTCTTGCGCAGGTCGCGGTATTACCTCACACCGCTGATAACATTTCCTGTTGCTGGTTTCTTAAAGGGGAAGTACCGCGGGACAAACTGCCATCATTGTTCTTTCCCCCCAGCTTTGCGGCTCCATATTTCTCATTGTATTTTAATCTGTTATCCCCCCCCATGTTATATGTTAGGACGGATCGGGCCATGTATGTATATCACACATGGGGACCGAACACCTCACTCAGGACACGTAACATATCAAACAAATGAGGAAAAACATCAAGAAAACACTTTTTTCCCACGTTTGATTATTTTCTGAATTTTTTTTTACACTTTGTTTTGGTGTCGGTTTCTCTCAGTCGCTATGACGACGGATAAATGAACTTGAACTCCGCCCCCTCCCTGCTCTTACATTGTAACATTGTCCATGGAATGTATCACATCGGGACTGACTCCGCCCCCTCCCTGCTCTTACATTGTAACATTGTCCCTGGGATGTATCACATCGGGTCTGACTCCGCCCCCTCCCTGCTCTTACATTGTAACATCCCTGACTCCGCCCCCTCCCTGCTCTTACATTGTAACATTGTCCCTGGAATGTATCACATCGGGTCTGACTCCGCCCCCTCCCTGCTCATACATTGTAACATCCCTGACTCCGCCCCCTCCCTGCTCTTACATTGTAACATTGTCCCTGGAATGTATCACATGGGGACTGACTCCGCCCCCTCCCTGCTCTTACATTGTAACATCCCTGACTCCGCCCCCTCCCTGCTCTTACATTGTAACATCCCTGACTCCTCCCCCTCCCTGCTGTTACATTGTAACATTGTCCCTGGAATGTATCACATGGGGACTGACTCCGCCCCCTCCCTGCTGAGCGGGCAGAGCAGAGGGTGGGGTCATTGGGGGCTAAGGAGGCGGGGTCACAGATGGGGCCCAGGGATTGGGGTTACAGAGGGGACTGGGGGGGTCACAGGCAGAGCAGGAGGCGGGGTCACAGATGGGGCCCAGGGATTGGGGTTACAGAGGGGACTGGGGGGGTCACAGGCAGAGCAGGAGGCGGGGTCACAGATGGGGCCCAGGGATTGGGGTTACAACAGAGCAGGAGGCGGGGTCAGGCTTTTCCCAGGCAGGTAGCACAGGTTTCGGTATCCTGAGGGAAGGCGGCCATTGTTCTCCTCCCCTCGCAGCGCTGACTCTCTTCCTCTCTCGGTTTCAGAACCCGCTCGGCGCCCCTGGGACAGAGGAAGCACCACGTTGCCCAGGTAACGGCGGCCATCTTGGATAGATCTGTACTGTCCTCTTTGTTTCTCTGGGTCCCGCTCACCCCGCTTTTCTCTGTGTCCGCAGGATGAAATCCACGGTCAGCAGCACTGAGGCGGCTCCAGAGGAGTCAACCGATACCATGGAGAGGCTCAAACAGGTAACCCCTCCCCCCCCGGTGTGGTAACCCATAGCAACCACCTTCCATAGCACTGGGTTACCGCTCACTGGATGTGACCGGTCTGGTTATTAGAAGATCGAGGACACGGAACATTCCAATACATGGCGAGGAGAACACGCCACATAATTCATGTATGACCTGCTGTCTGTGTATTCTATCACTGGACGCCACCAATCACAGCACTCCGGGCCCCAGCAGGATGAGGTTCCCCCCCTCCTGATATGCCTTCCATAGTCATGGCTCCGCCCCCCGCGCGTACATCGATGTCTGCAGTGCGGTCAGCCTTCCTCTCGTAATATGTGGTCAGGATGGAGGAAACCGGTGACCACAGACGCTTCCTCTCACAGAGAACGGCCTTCCTCCTGAACACACGCTGGCCGCCATTTTCTCTACAGAGCCCCCGATGTCCGCACTCCGGGCGTTCATGTGAAGGATCCGTCACCCCCGATAAAAGGAGATTGGCCCGCTCCACCTCCCAGCGCTGTACACACGGGGCGCGCTGTACACACGGGGCGCGCTGTACACACGGGGCGCGCTGTACACACGGGGCGCTGTATACACGGGGCGCTGTATACACGGGGCGCTATATACACGGGGCGCTATATACACGGCCACTGAAGATCCGTTTTCCCTCCGGTGAACGCCACCCATCTCACCTTAGAGGACATGTCACTTCCTGCCCCATGGTGATGTCATCGGGGGGTAAGCTGGGTGTAGTGGGAGGGGCCATATTCTGCAGGGATATGACACGTGGTGTGTTTCCTTCTTCAGGACCTGCTGGATGAGATGAGGAAAGAGCTGCAGAGAGTGAAGGACGAGATTATTGAAGGTGAGATTCCTCTCTAAGCATGGCGGCCATTGTATATCGCAACAGAAAGCCCCCTGTAAGGGGTCCTGACACAATAAAGCTAAATAGGGGTGTGGCTGCGGGGTCTTTGGCGGGTGAGGACAGACAATATGGCGGTTCGGGTGTGGCTGCGGGGTCTTTGGTGCAGTCCCGGCGGGCGTCTCCTGGGAGTTTAAACGATCGGCGGCTCGCGGATGTCCCGTACTTCCT